GCCACACAGACATGACTGTGTGAGAAGCGAGGCCATAAATAGTATCTAGGTTTAGATTTCATAGATTTCATAGATTTCTAGGTTGGAAAAGACCTTAGAGATCATCGAGTCCAACCATCCCTAATCCCCATTAGATTTGGTCTGTCATATTTTCTCCAGATTTTTAACTCTTGGCAAATTTGCTTGGGGAAAAAAATAACCAAGCCTGAGACCAAAAAGAGAAGTACAATAGCACTTTGAGAATGCTTTTATTCGGACTGAAGTCTTCTTTTTCCCCACAAAATGGCCTTTTCTTACTTAAGCATCAAAGTTTGTTTTGTGGTCTACTGAGCACAGGATCGTAGCTGGTATCTAAGGATGGTATTTAATGCCAAGCTGCTTCCAATCTTCTGAAGAGGAAAACCCATCACCTAAAAGCGGTTACGGAATTAAGTCAAAAAAGCAATATTATCCAAGCAGAGACCAATGCTGTGACCATGAAGAAAGGACCTGTGCATGGACACGGGTAGGCAAGAGGGAGCTGCTGACCGGAGAGGGCAAAGGAGACAGCGCAGGTCCTCAGGGCATCTGCAGCAGGACACTCCCAGTCCTTCTCCTACAGCAGGCACCGATCTTTCTCTTTCTTCTGCTTATTTTACACCAGTATAAACCTATCAGGCAGCTCGTGGCTTGCTTTTGATTTACAAGGGGCAGTAAAAGCAGATGAGCCTGCTCTGAGATCTGCTCCAACTTGTCACGAAAACGCACACACTTCTCTGCTTTCAAAGACTTCCCAAGTGTAGCTTCAATTTGGCAGGAGTCTCATACTAAAGGGGTCAGGAATCAGGCAGCTAAGGTCTGAAGTTGCCATAATGAAAAAAAAACAACCATACCAGGAGTTTACGCTAGCAGGTTTTTGAGCTGGCTGACCCAACTGTGTCCTGGGCTGCATCCAAAGAAGTGTGGCCAGCAGGTCGAGGGAGCTGACTCTGCCCCTCTGCTCTCGTGACACCCCACCTGGAATACTGCATTCAGCTCTGGAGTCCCCAACACAAGAAGGACATGGAGCTACTGGAACGAGTCCGGAGGAGGGCCACGAAGATGATCTGAGGGCTGGAGCACCTCTGCTATGAAGACAGGCTGAGAGAGTTGGGGTTGTTCAGCCTGGAGATGAGAATGCTCTGGGGAGACCTTTTAGCGGCCTTCCAGTCCCTAAAGGGGGCCTACAGAAAAGCTGAAGAGGGACTTTTGACAAAGGCATGTAGTGATAAAACAAGGAGCAATGGCTTTAAACTGAAAAAGAGATTTAGATCTAGTAGTAGATTTAGATTAGATCTAAGGAAGAAATTTTTCACTCTGAGGGTGGTGAAACACGGGTTGCCCAGAGGAGTTGTGGCTGCCCCATCCCTGGAAGCGTTCAAGGCCAGGTTGTATGAGCCTTTGAGCTACCTGGTGTAGTGGAAGGTGTCCCTGACTGTGGCAGGGGAGTTGGAACTAGATGATCTTTAAGGTCCCTTCCAACCCAAACCATTCTATGATTCTATGATTCTATGACCCAAGCTCCCAGCCCGTGGCCTATGTGCTGGTCAGGTTTCAAGGGCTGGGCTGCCCATGCCTTTGCTTTCTCCTCGTCTCACTGTTTGTGTTCCACCCCTTTGCTTTCCTGCCACTCAGCACCTCTTGCCACATCCTTATCCACCCTTTGCTCTCTGCTCTGCCCCTTCCAATTCCTGTCCATCCCCTGGCACCACTCGGCACTGCAGGACCCGACGGCGGCACTGGCACTCCGCTGGACTCACTCCGAAGCCATCCCTCATGTATGTGTGGAGGAAAACAAGGCTCCACCCTCCTTCCTGCAAAAAAAACCAACCTCACGTCACTTGTAAAGCTGATTTCTGGGTGTGAAGGGGAAAAAAAAGCTTTGCCAGCAAGAATCTGGTGGGTGTGGCTGCCTTAAAACAAGAACCACAGGTTTTGTTTTGTTTTGTTTTTTAATTGTGACATCACTCTGAGGGCTCTGCTTAATGAAAAGCAGAGGAAACCAAGATATTATGAGAGACGCTGCAGAACAAGACCCATTCCTTTAATGCAGCAGAGCAACACTGTTGTAAATATGGTCAGACAGAGCAGAAACCCCTTAGGGAGGGAATATTACCTTTTCACACCCCTTGGCACTAGAATAGCTGCAGGATGGAAGGAGGTTCTGGCATTATTTTTCAATTTGGGGAATGGCCTTGGCAAGGGAGGGCTAAGGTGGAGCCAAAGTGACTCTGCAAATAGTTTCTGCCATACCTACTGTCCTGGTTTCAACTGGAACAGAGTTAGTTTTTCTTTTTAGCAGCTAGAAGATCTCTGTGTTTTGGATTTAGTCTGGGACTGGTTAGGAGAAGAACACTGTATCGCACTGGTGTTTGTAGTCGGTACTGAGACATCAAGGACCTTTCAGCTTCCCATGTTTTGCCAGTGTGCAGGAGCACAACAGGCTAGGGGGGAACATTAAATTGTTCCCTCTCCCTGAGACCTAAATATCTGGGCAGCTCTTGCCTCCCTTTTTGTGGGATACACACAGGATCACTGTCATAATCAGGAAAAGTTGGCACCACCAGAAAACCCTGTTCACCTGAGAGAAAGATGGATGCAAGACAGCTGCATCATATTGCACTTGGCCATTCAAAATAGGGGATTTTCTCAAGTAGGGCAAAGCAAAAAAAGAGGGGTGGCGGGTGGACACCTTGGAGAACAGTGTCTGCATCCGCTGTACCCCCAAGTTGCGGTCGGTGCTCTCCAGGCAGAGGCAATTCTGCGCTTCAGCAGCTGCTGTCAGACCCCAGCCCTCCTGCTTGCTGCATTGCTATTCGACGTCCACACCTTCCTGTCTGAGGAAGATGACCTTGACACGGTGAGCCATGAAGCTCATGAAAATGTGCAAAGCCAGCAAGCTTTTCCAATTGCGCTGCGAGGCTTCCCGCACATTAATCTCGTCCTCTGGAAATCTTGAACAGCCAGTCAAAATAATCCTTTCGTGGAATTGCTTTCATACTGAAGAGGAAAGGACTGGGAACACGGATCTATAAATATTTTCTGGGGTGTTCATCTCTCCTCTCCTCTCCTCTCACGCACTCTGCTTGGCTACAAGGACTCCAGTGAAAGTGTGTCTCCTAATAAAATGAAAGCTGCTTCTGTGACGTTGCTACATATAAACGTCAGGTGACACACAGCCATCACGCTTTACCATAAATGCAATGGGACACAAGCCCCTTGGACTGGCTGCTTAATACTAGCATGGTGCTTCACAAACGTCCAGCGCCACAGAACCACCAAATATGTCGTACATATACACACGCATGTGTGACTACCTGCTGGCGTGTCGGTCTGCTTCAGCGTCGCGTCCGTTCCAAAGCCTGACAAAACCACAAGGAGAGTGTGAACAGAGCTGGAAACGCGAAGCGTAACACGGAGAAAAGGGCAAGGCTGCAGTTTTTTAAACGCTATCTTCATTTTGCATGGCCAAGAGAATGACACTGTGGGAGCAATCAGAGCTCTGCCTCGAAAACACCTCCTTCTCCACATTTCCCAGACTTCTTCCTTTTCATTACCGTCTCCACACTTCATTTGTACAATCCAGCTCAAAA